GACGACCCTTTCTCCACCTCCAGCCCGGACCTTAATGGCTTCAGTGAGTAAAACCTGTGTCCCGGTTCGTCCTGAAAGTAAATGCTAAATGGACCAGTGTTCTCTCAGATCAGCATACCTATAGTCAATACAAGATGCGCAAGATGTCATATTCACATTTATCCCTTTAGTTTTGTAAGAAAACTAAACTTTAAACTACCTGGACAGGCGTTTGTTCCTTTAGTCGTGTACAAAAAAAAAATAAAAAAAAACAATTCAATCTAAAAAACTCACACAGAAAGAAAAGACAATTCAAAAAGACGCTTCATGCTTGCTCCATGATGAGCAGGCATGAAGCGACAGTGGAGAGGAAAAACTCCCCATTGGGAAGAAACCTCTGGCAGAACCAGGCTTAACATGGTGGCCTTCTGCCAGACCAGTTGAGATAAAACAGGGAATGCAGTAGGAGTCCAGCAGGAATGAAACTCTGATGAAGTTTTAGCTACGATGTGGGTATAAACCGGGTCATCTGAATCAAAGTCAGACATGGCACATCCACCGCCCATGCCTTGGGCAACAGACTGAGATGTGGACTTGGAGACCTTCTAAGATGAACTTTGGATGCTGATTGGGCTTTCGTAGAGGTATGGTTCAAAGCTCACTAGCTTGTGTCGGAGCTAAAAGAAGGCGATTAATCAGTTTATTCAGTTGAACTTGACCATTTTAAGGTCAGATTGCCATACACTTCAAAAAACACCACAAAGTAAGTAATTAAATTGTTTTTTTATTGTACATGACTAAAGGGATACATGCCCATTGAGGTAGTTTAATGTCCATTTTTCGTACAAGGGATAAACTAAACGAATATACGGGTATTGACTATGGTATGCTGGTCTGACCAGGTAGGCTCATCTGACAGAACACCGGCAGCATTGTGGGAAAGATTCTGGTTCATTCTAGTTAGTAAAACAACAGATTATCCAGTTTCCCTTCATTGGATAGTTCTTCAATCACATTATTGTCATGTTATTACTGTATTTATAACCATTAAGATTTGTTACCAGCTGTGCTCATATCTGCCCATTCCAGGTGAATGCTGCATCTCGTCAAAGAAATAACTGCATATAAAAAATCCTTTTTTTCTTTTTCCATTTTTCTTGTTAAATTACACATCTGTGTGTCTAGTATAATTAGACAGTTGCACTCAGGCGGGCATTTTTCTCTTGTAAATGTCACGCTGGCCTTTGGGAGGACTCTGCTTTTTAGAGCTTCAGACCCGGTCTTACGCTGGTTATAACAGCCTGCACCTTTCTTCTTAACTCTCCCTGCTAATGTACATTAATGTTCCTGTGCTGAAACTCACCAACTGGACACTGACATCCACATCAGAAACCTGTGATATTTGAATGTGAAAAATTTTGCATCTTTCATTCATAAATAGGGTCAGATCCTGGCCATTATGTCGTGTTCTGTCTGTACGTTTGTAAGAAACTTTCTAGCAGAACAGTCACCTATTTACCTTGCAATCATCTCTGACCTGCTTCCCTATCCTCTTAATGCTCTACTCTGCATTCAGGGTGCTATGCAGTCTTATCTTTTTGGTTGGGTTTTTCAGCCTTCAGCTATATTTAGAAGAAACTCCTACAGTAGTAGCCATTCAAAATGTACCCACTTTCCTTCATTGGTCCCCTTCAATTTATTTTTAAACATCAATATTTGTACTAAATATTCTTTCAGTCATAATTTGTGGACATTAAGATCTAAAGAGAAGCATCATCTCCTGGTCAGACCCTGTAATTCAGTGAAAGGGTGGACTCTATTAAATTATGCAAGTGAGGGTCATTCCATTGGCTGGATGTTGGAGGGGATTTTGCTGGGCCATTCGGCCGGCGTTTGATGGGGACGGCCATTTTGAATGGCTGCTACTGTAGTTTTTCTAATTATTTGCTTCTCTCTTGCCAATCTTTTCTGATGTCTAATTTTGTGGCCGGTACAGCGAAGCAGAACACCTGGAGGAAAGGTCTAAACCTGCTTAAGTTCTGTCCCGTTCAACTTCTTCTGGCTTTGTTTTCCTTGCTGATGTTCTCCTTACCCAGACTGTTGAACCGTCCCATCTTGATGGCATAATCTTATGCCCTTAATTTGCTTCAACTCTGCCCAGTTTCTTTAATTAAAACTATGTGAGTGAAAAACAAAAACTACAACAAAGGCTCTTATCTGTTAACATATGTTTCCTATTGATAGGGGCTTGTATGCACTCAGAGGAATAATGTGTTCTAACTGTAAAACATGGTGAACTTTAAAAACATTTACCATGAGTTCAAGACAAGCTGCCTTAAAAGCCAAGGCTTGAGTGAAATAAAAAGTCTAACAGTGTGGTTGGGTCGAAGTCACTCCATTTTTTTTATGAAAGTGTTCACTGCTCTGCTGCAGTGGCGCCACTAGTGGTAGGGCCAGTGTAAATTGTAGTAGCATCAGTTTACTATTTCATCCCATTATGCACAGCCAGCAATGTAACATTAAAAATCACACAATAAACCAAGATATGAGTAGGTGTTTACTTAAAGTCGTAGGGTAGTTGCATTTCCGTTGCATTTCCGAATTCTCCCGAGTGGTGCCCGACTTTACAAGAGTGAATAAAGTGAATGTGATTGGTTGATTATCAAGGGGGTG